GAAAAAAGATTTGTTATGCAAAGCAGTAACCACCTGCAGGGCTAAAGCTGCACGGTGGTAGAATAGCTCTTTACTGAAGGTTATAAATAAAGAATAGAATAAAAGAATAAAACAGAGGCTACAGTAAGGTCTAAGCAGTCAAATTACAATTAAATAACATGTAAAGAAGTCAAGTTGAAAGAACTGTTCAGACAAACACACTTGGAGATCAAAGCATTATCCTCCATCTTTTCAAAGAATTAAAAAAAAAACTATTGTCCTTGCATTTCTCTGATGAATCCATCACTTTGCACCAGGAACCTCCACTGCGCACTTAACTGTGTCATTGTAGAAGGTACCGGAGCAGTCGGACCCACCAAACACCAGTACTGTGCAGTACACGCTGACGTTTTCACTCTGCTCGTGCTTCTCTGTGTCTGTCAGGACAGGGCAGCCCAAACTCAGCATGCTGTGTCCGGCACGGGGTTTGGAGCAAAGAACGGGAGACGCCACTGAACTCCACATGTTGGTAACTGAGGACCAATCGAGGCAGGAGGAGACAGTGAAAACAGTATAGTGTTTGACCTTAGAAAATGTAATGTCTGTCTTAAAGCCAAACACCAACCTTAAACTTGCGTTAAATCGCATAATTTAACAGAAATAATCAGAAAAGGATCAGTTCTCACCAGTGCTGAAGATATGTACGTCTTGGAGCGCTCCAATTGCACTGCAGCCGCCACTGATTAAAATCCTGTTGTCTGAAACTGGGACCGCCGCATGGAACCTGTCAATAAACATGCAGGAGGGTTTCATCTGTACTATTATTATTTTACATACATTTTTTTCAATACTTAATTCCATCATTTTACTTCCCTGATAAAAAAAAAACAATACTGGATGTTGACTTTGATATTTAGTTTTAAAAGCCATTAATTTCAAAGGCTGTTCTGGCCGTCCAAGGTGTAAAAACACTGAAACCAGATGGGTCCATTGATGACAGATCTCAAGGTTGATTGGTTCTGTTCTCACCCTCGAGGCAATGGTGGCATGTTCCCACACTTCACAGCTGTGTACTCCATAAATCCTTCCGTCAGCAAGGAGGAAAAAGGATAAATGTCACTGCAATCCAGGACACAACATCATCACAGCCAACAAATCTGTACCTTACCCAGATCTAGAACGTGGAGATCATTGAGGTAGGTTGCAGTCTTCCTGCCACCAAATATCATCAACCTCTGTGAGAGAAGTGTGGCCGAGTGCCTGTTCGGTACAAACATCATTTTAATCTTGAAAGAAAATAAAGAAGAAGTGTCACAGTAAATGTACTGCAGCTGTGTTTGAGAAAGAGCACTGACCCAAACCGAGGCAGAGGTTTGTCGCCCTCCACGATGGGCTGGTACCACAGCTCAAACTCTGGGTTGAAGATGTACAGAGCATTACTGCAGGATTTATCCCCGGACGAATGTCCTGGCTGGACTCCACCGAACACAAACAACTCTTTCTTATAAAACAGTGCAGAGTGATACGCCAGAGTGGGAATGTTCCCCTTTGCCTGCAGCGAGAAAATCCACAGAGGAAGAAAAACATCTCTGCTTGAGTATCTGCAAAGAATTTTAGAACTACAACATGTTAGTAACAAACCCACAGTGACAAGCTTCCACTTCCAGGTCAGAGTGTTGAGGATGAACAGCTCGCTGTAGCACTGACCCTCCCTCAGACCACCGTACACAAAGACCGACTTGGAGTCTGGGTCGTAGGTTGCAGAGTGTCCTCGGGCACAAAGTGGAACAGGTCCAGAGGCAGATGAGTTCATGGGAAACCAGAAGTCACTGTCTGAGATGAGTAACAATGAATTTGGTAAAAAAAAAAAAAAAAAAGTATTTTAGGGGTTTATTATCTCCACCAAGGATGTTTCCCCGTTTTTTTGGTTTGTTAGCAAAACTAGGCAAAATCTACAGTAAAGATTACAATTGCTGAAAGGGTGTGGTATGAATCAGGGAAGAACCTGTAACATTTTGGTGCAGATGTGGATCAGATCCAGGAAGTTCCTGTTAAATAGGTTGTGTGATAGTGTATGTTTTGACATTTACACTGATTTCTCATAGAATTTGTGGAACTTGATCGAGAAAAAAAATCAGTCATGTTTAAAGGACTGATTTCTGTAAGAGACTGCAATTACATACAATTAAATTTAATTTTAGTGGACTGTTGGGCCTTGGTGGAGGTATGCGTGCCATCCTAGTTTCTCCTATGTACTTACAATCTGATGCCATAAACAAGAAACTATAACTCGTAAATGTCTGAACAAATATTTCAATGAACTCCACTGACCTAACTCGAGCTTCCACAGGGAATCCTTGCAGTAGTTTTGATCTGCCGTCTCTCCACCGATGAGGACGGCAGTGTCGGGGTCGCTCAGACACATTGTGTGGCTCCAGCGCTTCGATGGACACACTGAAACTGAATCAAGATCTTTGTCGAAACCCATTTTGTGATTTCAGAGGCAATCGGTTTTTTTGGTTCCTGACCTTTTCTGTTGTCACTCTTTATCTGCGCTGTCATTCCTTCCTGGCTGTTCATCCTGTACAGCCTTTTTTTCTTCGGGGTTGAAGCCTGGTCTATGTCCTCAGTGAGACTGTCCATGTCCTCAGAGCTCCAGGTCATGTGGCCTCTTTTACTGATCACCGTCCGCCTCGGTGTCTTTTCCTTTTTACGTGGGCACAGGCTAAATTACACACGTCACATGCAGACATTAACATGTCGTTCTGAGCGTGATTCTTACCGTGGGCCAAGCTGTGGGTTTGTTGCCCACTGTGGAGACACTGGTGTCAATTTTGTTCACTTGGATCTCAGCAAATGAAACGCTGTCACACAACTGTGAGGAGTTGAGTGTAATCTGCAAGCCAGGACAATGACTAATTGTTGCACTGAAAGCACAGGAGAACTACTGAACTTCTCCTTCTCTTACCGTTTCATTTTCAGCAGTGTGGTGCAGAGTGCTGCAGAGATCAGTTGCATTGTGCTGCTCCGGGAACAGACATTTCCTTTGAGCCAGAGGAGTGCTGCTGAGGACGCTCGATTTATCCTGTGACCAGTCACAAGTCGTCACAGTAGTGAAAACAGTCTGAGCCAAGAAAGAACCCATGAGACGCTGTCTTTTAAACTCAATTATAAGCAATGTTAAAAAGAATAAAGCTCGGTTATATGAGATGCAGGGCCAGTTTTGGAATACAGATAAGATAAGATGGTCTGTGATGTGCTGCAGCAGCAAAAAGGACAGTCAAAAAAAGTAGAAAAAATAAGTAAACATGCAATATAAATGTAAGGATATGTAGAATAGATATTATACATACAATGTAAACAGAATATATACACTGTGAGCAGAGTATATACAGTGTAACAGACTGCACATGATTATTCAGTGTGACAGATTGTACATGAACCACTGAATTGCAGTGTATATGGTTGTTCTCCTGCTGAAGTAAAACCTCATACCTCTCCACACACTGTGAGCACAATCTTTCCATAAACTCCCCTCCTGCCCCTCTCTGCTGCCACTGAGGTGATGTCTGAGCTCCAGTCTCCTTCCCAGGTAAGACACCTATATCCAAAGATGAGTTCCTACATTTAGACCTGGGTGGATTTCTGTTTCTCGTTTTGTCTGAACTCGACCCAGTGTTCCTCACACCTTGCCTGAGATGTCAGAGTCCCGATCCTCTGGGCCTGCACCTCTGCACTGACCACCACCTCCACTGAGATGGTGGTAGCGTCCCCTCCTCTCCACTCGCCGAGCCCGAAGATGACGAGCTGTTTGGGCAGAGGCAGCGGGACGTGGACCTGGAAACACCTCCGGGTGGATTTGCTGCCAAGAGTGAAGGAACAACGTGTTTGGAGATGAATGGTCGTGTTTGGAGAAAGGGCTGCATGGAGATGTGACACACACCTGATGAACTGGCGGGGAGCGTCACGCAGGGACCACAGCACGTAGAAGTTCATCTTCCCCATGTTGTAGTTGTTGTTTGCTCGGACTCGGATTGTAAAATCGCTGCTGCTGCCGCAAACAACGCGGTCGCAAATTTGGCGCGACCTGTCACTTCCGTAAACGCCTCTGATTGGCTGAGCCTGGAGGCCGCAGTAGAAACACACACCTGTGACGAGGTGCAGTTAATTGGGTTTAACGCGGGTTCAATTGAGCGAGTTTAGTTTTTATCATTTGTTTATAACAGAACACAACATTTATAAACAACAGATGTGTGTTTCCATCAGATGTTTTTATCTGTTTGTTTGTTTGCTGAATGTAAACAACGGATTTCTATGAGAAACTTTTATCCAGGATATAATATAATGTTATTCTTCAAATCTGATATCCTGGTTGGCGGGTTATAGATTATGATAATGAACAATATAGCAAATATATTTTTACACATTTAAATTATTTAATATGAATGATTTATTGAGATATATTTTTTGTCGACTTGAGGCTTCATAGTGGTGAATGATATTTTTATGTTGCCTGGCCCCTCATAAAAACAGCATGTTATTATAAAGTTCTATGTATTATGTTTTATACTTTTACTTGATTACTTAATTCAAATTTGTATTTTGCTTTTTTTTCATCTTGAGGCATCATCGTGGTAACTGAGGTGTTTTTTTGTTTTTATGTCTCATCAACAGTAGGTAATATACAATAATATAATATATATTAAATATACCACAAACCTAATTATATAATGTAGTTTATATAATACACCCAAACTAGTCAGAATGTCTTCAATTTACCTCTCACAAGATGTAGATAATATACTGAAATGTCTGTATATATCATGATAAATATTCATATCTGTGTATTTACATAAGATGAAATTATTTGACAGCACATTTAAGATGTTATTGCGTATCTCCAGTTCAAACCTTTAAAAATGATCAAATCATTAGTCATTATTAATGTCTAACTTAATGAACGTCAAACTTAGATTTAAATCTAAAACATATTTTCAATGGTATTGTACAAGAACTATTTGAGTCTATGCTTATACTACTGCTTTACAGAAATCCAGTAAAATGATGAGTGACAATAGAAGAAACTCTGGATTGTGACTGGCCTTCAGGGAGATCTTAAAATAAAACCTGGCTTCATCAACACCTCTGTAACAATAACATCAATCCCCTAATGCCACTATTTAATAGAAACACAGGGGACCATCCTGAAGCGCTTTCTAATCCTGGACCTGCAACGAGACTGAAATGAGAGAACACGCACATGCACCAGAAGTCTAAATGTTTCATGTTGTTTCTGCACAATAAACTTCTTAAAACAATAGACCCTGAAATGAATCACCAAGAAAACTAGACAATCTCTTCTTTATTGTGGTATATAAATTTCAGGAACAAATATCATAACTTACAGTGAACGGTACAGTACAGCAAACAAGGGAGGCATTAAACCTGTTGCTTGAAAATGTTTACGGCATTAGCAGCCAAACCTGTGACATCTTTGGAAACATGCACACAAGTGAACATGGTAAAATGCTGAATTTTAAAAACAAGGATGAAACAAAGCTTTTCCAACACAATCGGATCCAAAGCGACGCCAGGATACTCAAAAACAAACGCGCTGGATTTCACTTATTTATCTCACATAGACCGGTGCACAAAATACATCTAGATTAAATATTACAACTGCTCCCTACCTCCGAAACAGCAAAGAGAGAGAGAGGGACGAGGCAAATGTAAATATTGAATCTATATTACATAATAAGAGCTTTATGTGATAAGGGATGGCTTTTATTTGTGTCATAAAAAGCACAGTGAGAAACTGTTGCATCAGGACATTGAACTTATATCTTTTGACCAACACAGACAGAGGACATGTCTCTGCAGTTTGTATTTTGATGTTGTATTCCGAATTATCACGTGATTAAATTGAACACAGATATGAAAGAAATGTATAAGTACAAGGCTGGAGGATAAATACAAATAACGACAACAAAGCAAAAGAACATTCATAACTGTAGAAAGTGCACAAAGACACATATGCAACAGAAAACCTCTTTTTAAAGCGCTGCTGATTAAGAACCGAGCCTGATGAGATATATTCTGTGCAGGCATTCCCTGATCACTGCTACCATAGAAATGTTACAGCTGAAGACAATATATGTTTTCTAACGGGCACTTGACCAAGTAGCACAGTGCAAACATGAGAACATGGCACGTATGCAAGACTTCTTCAAATATCTATCAGCAAGACGCAAATGCTGCATTCAAAATTATCTGACAATATATTGTAAATTCAACATGTAGCAACATAAGCTGATAGTGATAAAAAATAGATATGCCTATATTTAACCTTTTATATTATAACTTCATTTTCATTTTCCAAGTACGGAATCAAAAATAAATGTTGATAAGAGCAACATTCTTTAACAATAGAGTGGCATCTCAAGCACTGTAATAAACCCTGTAGTAAAGCGTTTTATTTCGCCACAGTGAGTAGGAGTTGTCGAACTTCAGCAGGTACGTTCCTTCACCTGGAAAATCGTGGCTCCCCCCGAAGACGGACAAGTGACTGTCCTGGCGATAAACCGGTAAGATTTCAGCCAAGTTTGAGTTGGTTTGGGTTTTGGAGCCCTTCTCCACATCTCCGTTACTGACAGGCCCTGCAGCAGAAATCACAAAGCACAAAGTCAACACATCATAGACAAAGAAGATGATGACATCTAGGAAATGCTTTGAAAAAGCTAACTGTACTGACCCTCCATCTCCTCTTCTTCATCTTCATCGTCACTTGACTCACTGATGTGCACTGTGATGGACCGGTTTGTGACGGGGGTCCAGTCAAAGTAGATGCCAAAGCCAATGTCATAACCGTCTGTGGCGAACTCCCAGCTCACTTTTTTGGCCTCGGGGACAGTGGGGACGTGAACCGTCATGATGTCGCCCCGGTACACCGTCACCACGCTGTCCCTCTCCGATCGAAGCTTCGCCTTCAGCTCCTTCAGTGTAGCAGATGTCCATGTTGTCGGTGGCTTCAGGGGCGGCATCTGGGCTGCCATCGGGAGGAACCAAAAGCAATATGTTCACAACACATAACAGCACCTCTGATCATTATTCATCTGGGTTAGATACGCCTTTAAAACATTCTGGATGTATCTCTCTAGAGCTTGTTTGACACTGTAACCGATTTAGGAAACCTCTGAATCAGAGTTGTAGATAAAACAAAGGAGGCATCATGATGACACACTCAGCAGGTCCTCACTTTTCATCTCAGTGGAGAGTTGACAGCTCCCAGCGCTGTTGTTCTCCTCGCCTCCTTCCCCTGGGGCCGGCTCAACAGCGGCCTCTTCATTACCCTTGAAATGCACACATACAAGACCCATTATTACATCAAACTGATGAGATCATACTTCACTGTTTATCGCCACTGACTGACATATTATCAAACACACTTAAACATGAATTACCTCTGAAGGCTGCCCTGAATCCTCCTCGATATCATCCATGTTAGCCTGGTCGTCTGTTTGGGGAAAGCTCTTTGACAGATCTGTGTTCTGGAGACTGAAGATAGAAAAGCAGCAGAAAAGAAAATCAAGTATCTATAAAGAGGATGACAATGGGATGCAATGAGCATCCCTAGCGGACCGTGTCAGCCCTTTGTAGCAGCATGATGACATAGTCTGCAGCAGCAACAGGTTACCTGTCCGGCGGTCTGTTGTCGCTCTGATTGGATGTTATCCCGGGGAAAGACGAGAAGGAGAGGGATGACAGCCGGGACTGGAGCTCTGAAGTCGCCTCCAATCTCTCCATGGCTGTAAAGACAAGACGAACACCTCAGTCTGCGTGGCCAGAGGAAAAAAAGAGATGAAACCCCGCCTCTTCCGACCAACCTCAGGGAGGAAGAGCGATGACAACACTGGAGCTAGCATGCTGCTAACACGGGCTGGACGAGCTAAACAAACTGAAACCGGACACTTATGAACCGCGATAACCAAAGCAGAGGCTGTGAAAGAAGAGCTACAGCCACAGAGAGCAGTGTTGTGTGTGTGTGTATGTGGTGACCCCCGGCCTCCATAACGCACTCCATCCTGGCTAACTGTTAGCTTTCTAGCTGGCCGGCCGCTTAGCCCCCGTTAGCTAGCTGCCTCGCTGGAGCACAAACTCATCGCGCTGCGGTCGAAACCAAAGATTTAAGCCCTGACAATGTGATACCTCGACACCGCGTCACTTGCAGCCAGATCAGGCCACGAGAGGAGACGCCTTCATGTCACTGCGGTCCTGCCCCAGACCTCCACGGTGCTGCCTCTGCCTCTGCTGCTGACGGGGAACGCACACGAATCTGTGAAGACTTCCGTGTTTTCTCCAGAGTTGACGAAAAGAGACAAATCTGAGGCGAAGTAGAAACTGATCAGAGGATGTGGACATTTTTACTGAGCGCATATGATCAGAGTGATAATTACCGACTTCGTAATTGTACAGTTGTGTTTATTACACTCAAGTAGTTGTTTACTACATACAACAATTATTAAGTAATAATTATTTTCTTAATTTACATTCTTATGTTCATTTTATGTAGGAATTAATATTTAAATAGATTTTTCAACAATTTGCTGAAACCGAGTCTTAAGGAGAGTGATTGTTTTATTTCATTTTTATATGTTTTTTAAAAATCTATTCTGTCTTTTGTGTTTTTCCTGCAGTAACATCAGAATGACAAGTTCTCATCACCATTTTCATTTATGCTGTATTTGCGACACATCCAGAATATGCCGACTATATACTGCTGCAATACTATTGTTTTATTCGCATTGTAAACTAGAATGAATACCCAGCGAATATATGCCCCCCCCTCCAACCAGTGCAGTATCAGTCCACATCTATTCATATGAGATCCTTGTGACGATTGACCCTTGACCCCTGAAACGAATCAGTTGATGTTTGAGTCGACAGCTGGTCACAATTTGAAAAATGTCCCTAAAGGCAGACATGAGATATTATATTCAAGAAGCTAAAAACATGTTTTATGAGTCCAAGGGAATGTTTGTTCCAATTTTGGGGAAATTCCCTCAAGGCCTTCTCCACAAGAGCGGGGCAGACGGGACATCCTGAAAACTATCATCACCATGGTGGCACAAAAAGTTTTTCTTTTATATACATACAACAAAATATTAAACAGAATTAAAAATAACCTACACATCTCAAAATATATTAAAGAGTCCCTTCTATTCAAATGTAGTCTTGCATATTACATTACAGCTTTTCAAACTATGTGTGACATAAGGGACACTGACTGCTGTGAGAATATAAGGTTTACTTTAGAGTGTGAGTTTCTAATGTTCCAGCAGCAGTGATTTGTATGATGCAGAGATGCACTGCTGCATATGTTTATTACTTAACAGAAACCTCAGCAGTGGTGTCTTCTTGGTCTGAGCTTCAGTGAGAGAAATCCAAGGAAAAGGCCTTAAAGGAGGGAAAAAATAAAAGCAGTCATTTAAAGCTTCAGTGTGTGTGTGCACTGTCATTGTGAACAGTATATTTGTTAAGTTAAACACGAGCAGCAATCTTTAACAATACAGCATTGTACTCACTCATCTTCGTGAAGGGAGGATGCATAAGAGGAACCCATGAAACTACTTGTGGTTAATTGCACAGTGTCCGTCCATGTCCCCTCAAAGAGTCTGTTTATCCTGGAGAGAGCATCACTGGATCTCAGACCAGCAGAGGTGCAGAGATTCAGCAGGCTGCACAAAACTGCACACACCCAGTTCACACCCAGAGAAATCCCACCTATAAGGAGTCACAAGCCAGTTCAACAGGTGGGAGTGAGAGGCCTCACTGCATCAAATTTCAAACATCTCATGTAACCTGACAAGTTCAAAGTTTGCACTAAGTCAGCATGATGTTACCGCTCGTGGTGAGAGGACACGATGCCTCTATCAGTGAAGGATCTTTCAAAGCTGTGGACAGAGAGGAGCAGGAGAGCCACACGTCTGCAGCATCACCACCCACAAAGTCATACTGTGGTTTAAGAATGAAGTCGTGTCCAAGAAGCTCAGCCAATCTGAAGAAGAAATTCACAGAAGGGATGCGTTCACATATATTTTCTAAAATGAGTTGTATGTGTAAAAATGTGGCGCTACCTGGTGACGGGCACAGCAGAGATGAAGCTGTACACCAGGCAGTGTTTTGACAGATGAGAGCGGAGATGGCCACAGACTCTGGGGAGGTGAGAGGGCAGACAGCAGAGGAACAGGACGTCTGCCCACGCTGCCAGTTCACGATTGTCGAAGAAACACTCGACACCGGTCGGGACAAATTCCACTAAAACACAAAAGCAACAAAAACAGAATACATGCAGGCAGGGGCACCGCTAGAAATGTAGGGTCCTGTGACAGACACACACACAGAGGTATATAAGAACAGTATA